AAAGAAACCTGATAAGATCCTATATTATTTTTATAACACTATGAAGGCGGGGGGTAATGCATTAGATCGGAAGTGTGTAAATTACAATACTGGTTAGAGAACGAGAAGATGGCCTTGTGCTATTTGGTATCCAACCAGCTTCTGTAAATTCCTTTTTTTTTCAGTCTGGGACTGAAAGTTCCATTAGGCGACGAAATTTTATTGTTCCCCTGAGGCAAACTCTAATTTAACTTCGTATGAGAGGACGTTTATCAGATCCAAGACTTCCTAGGGAGCTTCGTTCAGCCATGCAAAGAATCCTAAATTACCAACGACGAGCCGAGTAAGCCGTCTACTTCTCAGCCCAGAGTTCTCGATCCTGATGCAGTTGTTAAAGAAAAAAAACGACGTAGGTGTTACATGACAATACACAATGAAAAAAATGTTCTACAATCTGTAATAAGTATGTAAAGTCACAGCGCACTTACATTGTTTCGTGAAAAGTGATAAATGAATTATTGTATGTTTCCTTATACGAGAAAGTATTTGTTTTTGTTGTAGAATATCAACACCAAATATGTTGTTAAATGGCCCATTTTGTTAGTTTTTTTATGTTCATATTACAGTTCAAGTTTCGAGGATTATATTTATTGCATTACTCATCTTCAATGGGGTATTTTCGTTTTTAGACAATAAACAGTTTTCATGTAAGAGTGTCTTATGCGTACAAACCTGTTGTACACATGGCTAAAAACAGTAATGGCATTTCAGATGTTGATAGTAAGATCCGGTGGATAACCTGTTTTGCGAGATTAGACGTGGGATTTCCAACACGAACACCATCTGTTTATTTGAAGCATTAAAAACTGTAATAATCAACAATTTCAGTTTTCCATTGACAATAATGAAGAATTATGAAGGCGATTCATGTAAGGCACTAGGTAACTTCGCGTTGCTTTTAGAAGAGTATTGTCTGAATAGACAACAGTTACCTTGTGATTCTTCACCGAGCTGCATTTTTCAAGTTGAAAAATCGGGTGCTGAAAGTGATGGATCTATAGATTTGTGAGAATTTGCTGCTGCTTCAACTTCTTTTTGTAATAACAATAACAGTCTATATGAAATTTAACAATTCTGTTTCTTCTTTGATTTTGAGTCACCCTGTAAATGTAGCTCTACTAAACTATCGGACCGCATTCATAGCCTACAAGAGAAAAAAATCTTCTATACTGGAAAGGAGGAAAAAAAGAATGTATCAACCTGATACATCTGCCCCTCTTTATAACCCGTGAAATAGCCCTAGTTCTAATTAAATTTCAGTTCAAGCTTCCAAAATGACTTCCAACAATATTAAAGTAGCCACAAAGATCAGACCAATGATCCACCGCGAAGTAGCCGATGGTCTAGAGCGTCTTTGGAACGTAAGAGTAAACTGCATATGGGAAGCCGATGAAAGTAGTCGCCATGGAGAGGTTTATATATTCGACCATGTATTTAATCAGGAATGTACAAATTCAGATGTATATGGATCTGTAGTAAAACCTTTAGTCGATTCCTTCATGGAAGGTTTCAATGCCACAATATTTGCATATGGCCAAACATCTTCTGGCAAAACACACACCATTTTGGGCATAAAACAGATCCTGGGCTTTTCCAATTAGTATCCAATCAGTTATTCCAGCATGTGGCAGACCAGGTTGATAAGAGGTACTTGATTAGATGCAGTTATATTGAAATCTACAATGAAAAGATCAATGACCTCCTGGATAAGAGCAATCAGGGTTTAACTATGAGAAGATATCAAAGGAAATGTGCTGCTTGATGCAAGGGAAGCTGTCGTAGACAATGTTGATAAAGTTATGGAGAACATGATGCAGGGCAATAAGATCAGACGAGTTGCAGCTACTCGCATGAATGAGAGGTCATCTCGATCACACACGATTTTCCGGATTATTCTGGAGTCGAAAGATGCCAATCAGAAAGATGGACCTGTACATATAAGCTACCTTAACTTAATGGACTTAGCTGGTTCTGAGAGAGTTTCTCTGACGAAAGCTGCTGGTGAGCGTCTTAAAGAGGGGGCTAACATAAACAAATCTTTGTCAGTATTAGGAAATGTGATAAGGCAACTAAGCGAGGGGAAGGAGTTTATCAGTTATCGCGATTCGAAATTGACTAGACTGCTCTCACAGGCTCTTGGCGGTAATGCCAAATCATTGATTATCGGGAATGTTACTTTAGCTGCAGAGGAGGAGACTAGATCTACACCAGAATTCGCCCAAAGCACTAAAACTGTCAAAAATAAAACGAAAGTAAACATCTTGTCAGCTACAGAAGAGACACTTCAAGGATATCAGAACTTGACTCGCGATCTCGAAACTCGGCTCAAAAAGCAGGCAATTAAGCTAAAAGAGATGGATAAAAGCAAACAAGAGTATCTGCTCGAGATAGAAAGACTAAAAACGGAAGTATCTATTGTCGGGCGCTTTCAAATGGGAGCCTCGGCATCAACACCGAAAAAAACATTAAGACGTCATACTTTTGGACACTATGGCAACGTATCACCTAAAAAAGCATCCCTAGGGTATATGCCATTGAAAAATTATCCACCCAAAGAAGAATCATCCGGACGTGAAATGAGGCCTATTCAAGAAGAGACATATGAGGAGGCACTAGCCGAAGCAGAATCTGTGATAGCTGAAGACGTGCAAGTGTACTTAAAAGACAACGCAAAGAACTGGAAGAATCTTTCAATGAGCTTAGAGAATTCACTAAACTAGATAATCAGCTGGAGATTTTGGACCTGAAGAAACAGCTCACAGAAGCCAATTCTAAAATCGATCGTTACAGTCAGGAACTCCGCCAAGTAACGGATGCGTACAACGAAGAAATAGAAAGAGTTCAAAAAAATTCTCAAAAAGCGCAAGAATTTCATCGACTTGCAATACAGACTCGATTTTCTGGAAAAAAATAATAAAAAGACTAAAAACATACGAGTCAGAAATAGAGATGCTGCGTACTCAACTGAAGAACCTAGGAAGATCAGAGAGCCCTAAACCATCTCTTGAAGCTCAAAATATTGAGTCAAAAAAGAAGGTTGCAGACTTAGAAGCTATGCTTGACGCTGAGTACGAAGATATGCAAGATTCTTTAAGTGCTGCTACACAAACTGATGTAACGATGTCACACATTGCTGAACTGCAAGATGAAATTGGCTTCCTAAAAGAACTTGAATCTAAACTGAGAAATGACGTAAAGAGTCTGATGGACGAGAGTAACCAACGTGAGGTCAACCACTCATTTAAAATCTCAGATATACGATGCCATAATGATTCTACTATAAAAGAGCTTCAGGATCAAATGGCTGAACTGGAATGCCAAAACGAAATCTGGATTATGAAAAGTGCCCCTCTTTATAACCCGTGAAATAGCCCTAGTTCTAATTAAATTTCAGTTCAAGCTTCCAAAATGACTTCCGACAATATTAAAGTAGCCACAAAGATCAGACCAATGATCCACCGCGAAGTAGCCGATGGTCTAGAGCGTCTTTGGAACGTAAGAGTAAACTGCATATGGGAAGCCGATGAAAGTAGTCGCCATGGAGAGGTTTATATATTCGACCATGTATTTAAGCAGGAATGTACAAATTCAGATGTATATGGATCTGTAGTAAAACCTTTAGTCGATTCCTTCATGGAAGGTTTCAATGCCACAATATTTGCATATGGCCAAACATCTTCTGGCAAAACACACACCATTTTGGGCAATAAAACAGATCCTGGGCTTTTCCAATTAGTATCCAATCAGTTATTCCAGCATGTGGCAGACCAGGTTGATAAGAGGTACTTGATTAGATGCAGTTATATTGAAATCTACAATGAAAAGATCAATGACCTCCTGGATAAGAGCAATCAGGGTTTAACTATAAGAGAAGATATCAAAGGAAATGTGCTGCTTGATGCAAGGGAAGCTGTCGTAGACAATGTTGATAAAGTTATGGAGAACATGATGCAGGGCAATAAGATCAGACGAGTTGCAGCTACTCGCATGAATGAGAGGTCATCTCGATCACACACGATTTTCCGGATTATTCTGGAGTCGAAAGATGCCAATCAGAAAGATGGACCTGTACATATAAGCTACCTTAACTTAATGGACTTAGCTGGTTCTGAGAGAGTTTCTCTGACGAAAGCTGCTGGTGAGCGTCTTAAAGAGGGGGCTAACATAAACAAATCTTTGTCAGTATTAGGAAATGTGATAAGGCAACTAAGCGAGGGGAAGGAGTTTATCAGTTATCGCGATTCGAAATTGACTAGACTGCTCTCACAGGCTCTTGGCGGTAATGCCAAATCATTGATTATCGGGAATGTTACTTTAGCTGCAGAGGAGGAGACTAGATCTACACCAGAATTCGCCCAAAGCACTAAAACTGTCAAAAATAAAACGAAAGTAAACATCTTGTCAGCTACAGAAGAGACACTTCAAGGATATCAGAACTTGACTCGCGATCTCGAAACTCGGCTCAAAAAGCAGGCAATTAAGCTAAAAGAGATGGATAAAAGCAAACAAGAGTATCTGCTCGAGATAGAAAGACTAAAAACGGAAGTATCTATTGTCGGGCGCTTTCAAATGGGAGCCTCGGCATCAACACCGAAAAAAACATTAAGACGTCATACTTTTGGACACTATGGCAACGTATCACCTAAAAAAGCATCCCTAGGGTATATGCCATTGAAAAATTATCCACCCAAAGAAGAATCATCCGGACGTGAAATGAGGCCTATTCAAGAAGAGACATATGAGGAGGCACTAGCCGAAGCAGAATCTGTGATAGCTGAAGACGTGCAAGTGTACTTAAAAGACAACGCAAAGAACTGGAAGAATCTTTCAATGAGCTTAGAGAATTCACTAAACTAGATAATCAGCTGGAGATTTTGGACCTGAAGAAACAGCTCACAGAAGCCAATTCTAAAATCGATCGTTACAGTCAGGAACTCCGCCAAGTAACGGATGCGTACAACGAAGAAATAGAAAGAGTTCAAAAAAATTCTCAAAAAGCGCAAGAATTTCATCGACTTGCAATACAGACTCGATTTTCTGGAAAAAAATAATAAAAAGACTAAAAACATACGAGTCAGAAATAGAGATGCTGCGTACTCAACTGAAGAACCTAGGAAGATCAGAGAGCCCTAAACCATCTCTTGAAGCTCAAAATATTGAGTCAAAAAAGAAGGTTGCAGACTTAGAAGCTATGCTTGACGCTGAGTACGAAGATATGCAAGATTCTTTAAGTGCTGCTACACAAACTGATGTAACGATGTCACACATTGCTGAACTGCAAGATGAAATTGGCTTCCTAAAAGAACTTGAATCTAAACTGAGAAATGACGTAAAGAGTCTGATGGACGAGAGTAACCAACGTGAGGTCAACCACTCATTTAAAATCTCAGATATACGATGCCATAATGATTCTACTATAAAAGAGCTTCAGGATCAAATGGCTGAACTGGAATGCCAAAACGAAATCTGGATTATGAAAAGTGCCCCTCTTTATAACCCGTGAAATAGCCCTAGTTCTAATTAAATTTCAGTTCAAGCTTCCAAAATGACTTCCGACAATATTAAAGTAGCCACAAAGATCAGACCAATGATCCACCGCGAAGTAGCCGATGGTCTAGAGCGTCTTTGGAACGTAAGAGTAAACTGCATATGGGAAGCCGATGAAAGTAGTCGCCATGGAGAGGTTTATATATTCGACCATGTATTTAAGCAGGAATGTACAAATTCAGATGTATATGGATCTGTAGTAAAACCTTTAGTCGATTCCTTCATGGAAGGTTTCAATGCCACAATATTTGCATATGGCCAAACATCTTCTGGCAAAACACACACCATTTTGGGCAATAAAACAGATCCTGGGCTTTTCCAATTAGTATCCAATCAGTTATTCCAGCATGTGGCAGACCAGGTTGATAAGAGGTACTTGATTAGATGCAGTTATATTGAAATCTACAATGAAAAGATCAATGACCTCCTGGATAAGAGCAATCAGGGTTTAACTATAAGAGAAGATATCAAAGGAAATGTGCTGCTTGATGCAAGGGAAGCTGTCGTAGACAATGTTGATAAAGTTATGGAGAACATGATGCAGGGCAATAAGATCAGACGAGTTGCAGCTACTCGCATGAATGAGAGGTCATCTCGATCACACACGATTTTCCGGATTATTCTGGAGTCGAAAGATGCCAATCAGAAAGATGGACCTGTACATATAAGCTACCTTAACTTAATGGACTTAGCTGGTTCTGAGAGAGTTTCTCTGACGAAAGCTGCTGGTGAGCGTCTTAAAGAGGGGGCTAACATAAACAAATCTTTGTCAGTATTAGGAAATGTGATAAGGCAACTAAGCGAGGGGAAGGAGTTTATCAGTTATCGCGATTCGAAATTGACTAGACTGCTCTCACAGGCTCTTGGCGGTAATGCCAAATCATTGATTATCGGGAATGTTACTTTAGCTGCAGAGGAGGAGACTAGATCTACACCAGAATTCGCCCAAAGCACTAAAACTGTCAAAAATAAAACGAAAGTAAACATCTTGTCAGCTACAGAAGAGACACTTCAAGGATATCAGAACTTGACTCGCGATCTCGAAACTCGGCTCAAAAAGCAGGCAATTAAGCTAAAAGAGATGGAAAAGCAAACAAGAGTATCTGCTCGAGATAGAAAGACTAAAAACGGAAGTATCTATTGTCGGGCGCTTTCAAATGGGAGCCTCGGCATCAACACCGAAAAAAACATTAAGACGTCATACTTTTGGACACTATGGCAACGTATCACCTAAAAAAGCATCCCTAGGGTATATGCCATTGAAAAATTATCCACCCAAAGAAGAATCATCCGGACGTGAAATGAGGCCTATTCAAGAAGAGACATATGAGGAGGCACTAGCCGAAGCAGAATCTGTGATAGCTGAAGACGTGCAAGTGTACTTAAAAGACAACTCAAAGAACTGGAAGAATCTTTCAATGAGCTTAGAGAATTCACTAAACTAGATAATCAGCTGGAGATTTGGACCTGAAGAAACAGCTCACAGAAGCCAATTCTAAATTCGATCGTTACAGTCAGGAACTCCGCCAAGTAACGGATGCGTACAACGAAGAAATAGAAAGAGTTCAAAAAAATTCTCAAAAAGCGCAAGAATTTCATCGACTTGCAATACAGACTCGATTTTCTGGAAAAAAATAATAAAAGACTAAAAACATACGAGTCAGAAATAGAGATGCTGCGTACTCAACTGAAGAACCTAGGAAGATCAGAGAGCCCTAAACCATCTCTTGAAGCTCAAAATATTGAGTCAAAAGAAGGTTGCAGACTTAGAAGCTATGCTTGACGCTGAGTACGAAGATATGCACATTCTTTAAGTGCTGCTGCACAAACTGATGTAACGATGTCACACATTGCTGAACTGCAAGATGAAATTGGCTTCCTAAAAGAACTTGAATCTAAACTGAGAAATGACGTAAAGAGTCTGATGGACGAGAGTAACCAACGTGAGGTCAACCACTCATTTAAAATCTCAGATATACGATGCCATAATGATTCTACTATAAAAGAGCTTCAGGATCAAATGGCTGAACTGGAATGCCAAAACGAAATCTGGATTATGAAAAAGGACGACGAAATCAGAAAATTGCAACAACTAATTACAAACCCGAAGCAGGCTGGCACTTAACCAGAACCACCTGTGCAGGAAGACGTTGCATTTTATAGGGAGCAAGTTGAGTTCTCCCAGAACATGTACAAAAATGAGATAATAGGTGGAGAGTTACGTATAAACCATAGAGAAAATCTTCAGGCAGTTAAACTAGAAATATGTCTACCCTTGTTTAGTGTTTACGATTATTTGCAGTTTAGGGTTTGACAAAGTTTAGGGCTGATCCAGTGCTCACAGTGTACAATTTTCAGCTAATAAATCTTGAATTCTGAGGTAACAAAATCAACTAGAACTCTGAAAAAGTGATTTATCAGAAATCATGCCCTTACTTCCATGATAAGAGGGATTCGTAAAAATTATAAGCAGGTTGTGGCTTATTATCTAGTAAAAGATACAAGAATCCCAGATCTGAAAACGATTATTGTTCATGTGATCACAAACTAGCAGCGACTTGGTTTGTGCGTTGTTGGCACTATTTCTAATCAGGGCGCAACGATCAAAAACGCACTTGAGACGATTTGCTCGGAGAATACTCACGGATCAAGTCCATTCCATTTTATAGTCAATGCTCAGAGTATTTCTACAATTTGTGATGAACCACATTTATTCAAAAATGGATGAAATGCTCTTATTGACATTAATATGAAAGTGAAGAAGCTGCACAGATTGAACATGTCTAGAAATCATATAATGTTGATCAGCAAACAAGACCATACAAAGAGCTATGTAAATTGAAACCCAGCCACTTTGATTTTATAGATTCGTTCAAGAATATAGAAATTAATCCTTTAATGATATCGTCGGATGATTCGAGCTTTCTCAGTTATGTGGTGGGGTCCCGTGACTTCTCATACGGTATGAGCACGTATACCTCAAACCACAGTTTAATTTAAACATCACAATTGTTGGTTTGTTGACTTTGCGGTCAAATTTGATCCGAGGATGTCAGTTGCGTGTACGATTTGAACTTCCTTCACAATGGATTTTTCGTTGTTGACGGATGAACAATACACTATAGACTACGCCGAGGACGACGCTGCTATCGATCAACCTGAACAACTTCCTATGGGCGACCTCGCTATGCCTATGGAAAAAACATGTACAATTGGTCAAAACGAGCGCCTGCAACTGGTCGATTATTACGCATTTACCTGAACTAAAGTCCGTGGCAACCAATTTGGAAAATAATAACCCTGTGACTCGAGAAATGCCGATAAATTTCTCCAAATACGTGAAATTTTCGAGACACTCATAGAGAACTGTCGAAATTGTTATATTTCGGGTGAGTCCCCTACAAAATACGAGATGCTCGTGGGCCGATGTCCTTCCTGTGCCTACAAGAAAACTAAACCGAATAAGTATGGACTGATGATGCAAAGACTCACCACTACCTGCTCAATGCTTTCGTCTATACAGAAAATCACAGCAGATGATCACGTCAGTAGAATTACATGTAGAATTGCGCATCAACCAACTGACCTATGTCGGCAGGAAGCGTAAAAATAAGTAACAAGTACCCCAACATGTAGTTCCAAATAAGAAGGAAACACAGCCAGGTACTTCTAAGTTTATTTGTACAGCCTTAGAGTAGTATCTTCCAAAACCAAATACACATGTTCTCGTATAGCAATCTATGCAGCATGATAACAAAATAGTAGAGGAATCAAAGAAACCTGATAAGATTCTATATTATTTTATAACACTATGAAGGCGGGGGGTAATGCATTAGATCGGAAGTGTGTAAATTACAATACTGGTTAGAGACGAGAAGATGGCCTTGTGCTATTTGGTATCCAACCAGCTTCTGTAAATTCCTTTTTTTTCAGTCTGGGACTGAAAGTTCCATTAGGCGACGAAATTTTATTGTTCCCCTGAGGCAAACTCTAATTTAACTTCGTATGAGAGGACGTTTATCAGATCCAAGACTTCCTAGGGAGCTTCGTTCAGCCATGCAAAGAATCCTAAATTACCAACGACGAATAAAGTAAGCCGTCTACTTCTCAGCCCAGAGTTCTCGATCCTGATGCAGTTGTTAAAGAAAAAAAACGACGTAGGTGTTACATGACAATACACAATGAAAAAAATGTTCTACAATCTGTAATAAGTATGTAAAGTCACAGCGCACTTACATTGTTTCGTGAAAAGTGATAAATGTTAATTATTGTATGTTTCCTTATACGAGAAAGTATTTGTTTTTGTTGTAGAATATCAACACCAAATATGTTGTTAAATGGCCCATTTTGTTAGTTTTTTTATGTTCATATTACAGTTCAAGTTTCGAGGATTATATTTATTGCATTACTCATCTTCAATGGGGTATTTTCGTTTTAGACAATAAACAGTTTTCATGTAAGAGTGTCTTATGCGTACAAACCTGTTGTACACATGGCTAAAAACAGTAATGGCATTTCAGATGTTGATAGTAAGATCCGGTGGATAACCTGTTTTGCGAGATTAGACGTGGGATTTCCAACACGAACACCATCTGTTTATTTGAAGCATTAAAAACTGTAATAATCAACAATTTCAGTTTTCCATTGACAATAATGAAGAATTATGAAGGCGATTCATGTAAGGCACTAGGTAACTTCGCGTTGCTTTTAGAAGAGTATTGTCTGAATAGACAACAGTTACCTTGTGATTCTTCACCGAGCTGCATTTTTCAAGTTGAAAAATCGGGTGCTGAAAGTGATGGATCTATAGATTTGTGAGAATTTGCTGCTGCTTCAACTTCTTTTTGTAATAACAATAACAGTCTATATGAAATTTAACAATTCTGTTTCTTCTTTGATTTTGAGTCACCCTGTAAATGTAGCTCTACTAAACTATCGGACCGCATTCATAGCCTACAAGAGAAAAAAATCTTCTATACTGGAAAGGAGGAAAAAAAGAATGTATCAACCTGATACATCTGCCCCTCTTTATAACCCGTGAAATAGCCCTAGTTCTAATTAAATTTCAGTTCAAGCTTCCAAAATGACTTCCAACAATATTAAAGTAGCCACAAAGATCAGACCAATGATCCACCGCGAAGTAGCCGATGGTCTAGAGCGTCTTTGGAACGTAAGAGTAAACTGCATATGGGAAGCCGATGAAAGTAGTCGCCATGGAGAGGTTTATATATTCGACCATGTATTTAATCAGGAATGTACAAATTCAGATGTATATGGATCTGTAGTAAAACCTTTAGTCGATTCCTTCATGGAAGGTTTCAATGCACAATATTTGCATATGGCCAAACATCTTCTGGCAAAACACACACACCATTTTGGGCAATAAAACAGATCCTGGGCTTTTCCAATTAGTATCCAATCAGTTATTCCAGCATGTGGCAGACCAGGTTGATAAGAGGTACTTGATTAGATGCAGTTATATTGAAATCTACAATGAAAAGATCAATGACCTCCTGGATAAGAGCAATCAGGGTTTAACTATGAGAAGATATCAAAGGAAATGTGCTGCTTGATGCAAGGGAAGCTGTCGTAGACAATGTTGATAAAGTTATGGAGAACATGATGCAGGGCAATAAGATCAGACGAGTTGCAGCTACTCGCATGAATGAGAGGTCATCTCGATCACACACGATTTTCCGGATTATTCTGGAGTCGAAAGATGCCAATCAGAGATGGACCTGTACATATA